CAAAACCACCAACAAAGCTCATGAGATAATGGATATAAGCCGTTAAAATTGTAGGCACCTATCACCTCATACCTGTTAGAGTGGCTGCCATCAAAAAGACAAGAGAGAAATGCTAGCATGGATGTGGAGAAAAGAGAACCCCTGTGCCCTGCTGGTGCAGCCACTGTGGAAAACAGTGTGGAGAATCCTCAAAAAAAAAAAAAAAAATAGAATTACCACATGATCCAGCAATTCCACTTGTGGTAATATATCCAAAGGAAATGAAAACAATAACTCAAAAAGATATCTGACCCCCATGTTCACTGCAGCATTATTCACAACAGCCAAGACATGGAAACTACCTAAGAACCTAAGTGTCCATTGATGGATCAATGGATAAAAAATGAAAAAAATTGTGGTATATATATTTGTGATATATACACACATATTTCAGTGATAAATAATGGGGAAATCCTACCATTTCTAACAACATGGATGGACCTTGAAGACACTATGCTAAGTGAAATGTCAGACAGAGAAAGACAAATACTGTATGATCTCACTTATATGAGAAATCCAGGGGAAAAAACCTCATAGAAAAAGAGATCAGACTTGTGATTACCAGAGGCAGTTGATGAAGGAAGGGGAAATTAGAGGAGCGTAGTCAAAATGTACATACTTCCCATTGTAAGACAAATAAGTACTGGGGATGTAATGCACAGCATGACTTAACATTGTTGTATGTTATATAGAAAAATTGTGAAGAGAGTAAATTCTAAGAGGAATCACAAGGAAATTTTTTTCTTTTCTTTTTATTGTGTCTATATGAAATGATTGATGTTAGCCAAACTTATGGTAGTAATCATTTCAGTATCTATGTAAATCAAACCATCATTTTTAGGCCTTAAACTTATATAGCGATGTATAACAATTATTTCTCAATAAAACTGGGTCAGGGGGTTTATAGCACCTGCTGACTCTCTTGGTTGTCTTATTTTCCAGGGTTTGCCTTTCCAGATTTTAGGCCTAACAGCATGGATTCCTTTTTCTGCTCACGATATTCTTTCTCTTCCCCACTCTTTCCACCTAGACTAACAACTATAGATCCATGAGCTAATGATAAGTCTCCTATATCTTCAAAGAAAAGGAAAGAAAGATAATCTTTGCTAGCCTTTTTAAAAGAAAAAAAAATTCCCCTCGGTGCCTTACAAGCCAAATAAATTAACCACAGGCCTGTTATGTTCGGTCAGCTGCACTCTCTCCCAAGGTTGTCTTAAGGAAGGCAGTCAGAGCAGGAATGTAATAGACAAGCACCTACCTTACTCAATAGAGGTAGGTCATGCAGAAGTTGGTGGAATGTTGTAGTTTGAATACAAGTATTTAGATCCCAACAGAGTTGGCCCTCCTCATTGAGACCACTTGGTCTTAAAGGACTCTCCCCTCTTCTCTGATATTAGTAGGCAGCGGCTGTGCCTTGCCATCCCCTCCACAGTCAGGAAAGGCTATTATCTATCTCCTGGATTTAGTGAAATCAAATAGAAGTTTGATTTCTTTTCTGATAAAAGAGATGATGCAAATTAGCATTTTATCTTGCATGGAGGAGTGACAAAGTAGGAGAATGAATCCTACTTGATTACAATCTTCCATCATTCTGATTTTATAATTACTGAATGGAATCAATCAGCTTTCAATTGTTACCTTGGTGAAAGATTAAAACTTCATTACTTGTCCTACATATTTCACACTTTAGCAAATTTTAATAAACTGAATGCAAGAGAAATGGTTATATTATCTTCCATGAGATTGGGATGCTAATGATATTTCTATTGATTTTAATTCACATTTGTTGGTCAAAAAGAGTCAGATTCCAATGAGGCATGGAATTATATAATCAACACTAACAAATGAAGACCACTGAACACTAAAATGGCCCAAACGAAATCATTAATCAGAAATATAAAATAATTGCTAAAAAACTAGGGAGGTCTTCTCTTCCTAATGAACATCTTTTACGGTATATTGATTCATTTGTAACTCTTGCACATTTGCACATTGGTGATTTCTCTATTAAAATATTTTAAGTAAGCATATAAAAAACACTTTGAAAAAACAAAATTGGGAGAGAACTAGTTTATCAATAGAGGGGATGATAGAACCTCCTCTTAAAAGGTGAAAAAAAATTCCTGAAGATCAAAGAAACATATGACTCTCCCTTAAACCACTCAAGTTTGACAAATTCTTCACCCAGTGGTCAGAAAGGCCATGCAGAGTCATCAATAACATAGAACAGAATAATATTTAAAGGTGAAGCTTCTGTAGTTAGACATCATGGCTTTGTCTACTACTTCACTGAGCCTTAGTCTCCTCATCTGCAAAATAAGGATTAATAATAGTACTCACTTCATAGTGCTGGCCTCAGGATGAAATGGAATAATCTTTATAAAGCATATTTCAGCATACTCCAGTCAAACTGCATTTCTGTGGTTAAAAACAGCATTAAATTTTATATAGGCAAAGATTTTATTTTAACTCCCAAATTCTCTGTTTAAATTTTTTCTTACTTATTCTCTCTAGATGACAAATTAGACCATGCCTCCTAAGGGTGTTAATCAAGTTTGGGAGGGTCTGGTGTCTACAGTTCAGATTTTCAGGGAGTAAAATGTTGGGGATGAGTAAGAGGCAAGAAAGCACAGGCTCTTAAATGTTCTGCAATAGGAACCTTTTCCCCCACAGCCCCAGTCCTTAATAGACCTATAAAAATCATGATAAATGTCCTCAGTGGGATTCAATTTCTTGTAAAACCTAGAAAAAGCAATGTTTTGTTCCAAAAGGCTGTAGAATGTAAAACATAGGTGGCCCTGGGAAAACATGCAAGTGGAGACCAGGGAGCCCAGCCTTATAAGAACAAGGACATGCAGAGAGTCATGGGAAGAGTGCTAGAGATGTCTGAGCCAAGAGGTGGGAGGTGAAGGAGCGAAAACATGGGTCCCAGGTGATACCTCTGGGGATTTCAACATAAAATTAACTCTTCAAAGGCGCCATCTTCTCAATTTAAGAAGCACGTCACTCAGGCACTCAAAGAGATCCAGAAATTCACTGGACTTCCTTTCCATTTGAGTTTTGCAAGAACCTCACCAGTTCAACATTCTGTTCTTCACGTTCCAGTTAAATTCATTCTGCCACCCTTTTTAATCAGATTTTTATTATCCCACATCTTACTTTAAGGTTATTTGAAATTTTAAAACAATGTGATATTGGGATTTCTTTTTATCAAAACACTAGGTCAAGGCACCCTTGTATTAGCTGTGGGGAAAAAAATGATATAGACCATCTATGCCTTGACCACAATGATGATAACAATAGCAGTTATTTCTTATGGAATGCTCACTATGAACCAGACATTATACTAATTGCTTTATTTGCATTAATGTACTTAACCTTTACAAAAGCCCAATGAAGTAGACGCTGTTATTACAGATGAAGAAACTGAAGTTGAAAGAAGTCACTTATCCAAAGTGATAAAGTTGGTGATAAAACCAGGATTAGTTCATTCTTTCAGCAACCATTTATTAGGGCAAAATTTATCCCAAAAAGCTATAATTTTTAATATAGATAAAAGAGAGGTGCAGTTATATTTTTAAGTATACAGGATGGGGCAAAAGTAGGTTTACAGTTGTTCATATGGAAAACCATACAATAATTAGGCCTGGCCGAAGTGGCTCAGTTGATTAGATCATCATCCCATAACTGAAAGTTTGCAGGTTTGATTCCCAGTCAGGAGATATGCCTGGGCTGTGGGTTTGTTCCCCAGTTTGGGGGTGTATGGGAGGAAACCAATTGGTGCTTCTCTCTCACACTGATGTTTCTCTCTCTCTCTCTCTCTCTCTCCCCCGACTTCCCTTTTTATTTTTTTTAAAAGCAATAAAAAAAATGTCTTTGGGCGGGGATTAAATTTTTTTAAAATACAACAATTAATAAATAATAATACAAGAATAAACCCTGTGTTTCACATACTCACAACTGTAAACCTACTTTTGCCCCATACTTTATTTATTCACAAGAGCTGTGAAAGCAAACTGAGAGCAATCACAAATAAATGGAGAGCTTTACTTCAAGGACCTTGTGGCAGTTTTTATTTTTCAAAACTAACCACAATTATAACTCCCATCGTACACACCCTCAATGTGATTTTTTAACTCTCCTCAAGATATGAAGGTCTAGGTCTCCTCCCGTAATCCCTATTAGGGTTTATAACTAATGGTGGAACTGATACTATGTACTTCCAAGACAAGTTCACAAAAGGGTCACAGCTTCTGCCTGGTTCTGTTGGGATGCTTGCTCTGGGAACTCAGCCACCAGGCTCTGGAGAAATCCGAGTATGAAGAAGCCAGCTCTAGATGTTCAGCCAAGGTTCCAGCTGAGATCTCAGCCAATAGTGAGCATCAACCCATAGACATGTGACTGAAAGAGGCTTTGGGAGATTTCAGACCTTCATCAAGACGAAACCTAATCTCCTAATCTTCCCAGTTTAGGACCCAGACATCACAGAGCAGAAATAAGCTGTGCCCACTCTGCTGACTATCCCCCTTCTGAATTCCTGAGCCATAGTATCCATTAACATAATAAAACTGTTTTACAGCAAGTTTGGAGTGACATGTTATATAGCAATAGTAACTGGAAGAGCTTTCTACTAATATCATTGGTGTTTGCTAATTAAGCACCAAAGCACAAGAAATATAATATTGCAGGTAACCTGCAGAGTCATGTTAACCTTTTGCTCAAGTTTAGCCATGTTACTTTTAAACTCTTACAAAAAGAAGAACCTCTAAAGCTTAACAAAGGGTTTCTGAAATAGCCATTAAAATGATCACATCAGACATTACATTAAGACAAGGAAAAGACTTCTGGTATGATACTAAGTGGAAAGAACACAGAACATCAATTTTTATATGTTATTATTACACTAGGTAGAAACTGTTTATGCAAATGAAAAAAAAAGTTTGGACCTTGGGGCCAGCATAATGGTTCCTGCAAGGAAGGGTGGCAAGAAGAAAAAGAATCATTCTGCCATCAATGAGGTAGTGACCAGAGAACACACCATCGACATTTACAGGGGCATCCATGGATTGGGTTTCAAGAAGCATGTCACTCAGGCACTCAAAGAGATCCAGAAATTTGCCATGAAGGAGATGGAAACTCCAGATGTGCTCATTGACATCAGGTTCAACAAAGCTGTCTGCACCAAAAGAATAAGAAATGTCCCCTACTGTATCCAAGTGCAGTTGTCCAGAAAATATAATGAGGATGAAGGTTCACCAAACAAGCTCTACGCATTGGCTACCTATGTACCTGTCACCACTTTCAAAAATGTACAAACAGTTAATGTGAACAAGAACTAACAGCCGATTGTCAAATAAAGTTATAAAACTGCCAAAAAGGGGGGAAGAAAAAAGTCTGAAAGGCAGTGTAGAAACATTAAAGTAATTGATCTGGTATTGTGGTCAAATCTCCTAAGGAACTCATTCACATAGCTGTAAACACTTCCTTAGTTACATAATCTCTGTGTGTTTCACTTTTCTTTCCTATGGCATGGGAATAATAATAGTATTTTTTTCATAGAGTTCTTATAGAAATAAATGAGAACCCTGGCTGGTGTGGCTCAGTAGACTGAGCACTGGTCTGCAAACCAAAGGGTTGCCAGTTGGATTCCCTGTCAGGGCACATGCCTGGGTTGTGGGCCAGGTCCCCAGTAGGCGGGACACGAGAGGCAACCACATATTGATGTTTCTCTCCCTCTCTTTCTCTCTTCCTTCCCCTCTCTCTAAAAATAAATAAATTAAAATCTTTAATAAAATTTAAAAATAATTTAAAAAAATTTTCATTGAATGTGTTAATTTGGTAAAGCCTGAAACAGCACCTGGCACATGGAGATTAACAAACATTAGCTCTTTATCATCTAATTCAACTCCTAATAACATAGATTAGATCATCTCTGTTAATACTGCCTTTGATTCTCAAACCCTCCCAGAAACAAACATAAGAGGGCTAGGCTTCTTTGTCTCAGTGTCAACTAAGGAAAGGAGCTGAGTCTCTCAGTCTCCATTAACTTATATGTACAATGAAGTGTATGCCTAGTTTTCTGAGTTCTTATGAAAATCAACTGATGTAATACATTAGCAGAATTTGGTCAAAACCCCAAACATATGCCATTTGTCTATCTTCTTATCTTACCAATTGTATGTGTTTGCTAGGATTGCTATAACAAAATACCACACACTGAGGGACTTAAATAAGAGAAGGTTATCATCTCACATTTCCAGAGGTTAGAAGTCTGAGGCTGAGGTGTCAGCAAGTATGGTTCCTTCTTCTAGCTGTGAAGGAGAATCTGTCCCAGGCCTCTCCCTTGGCTCCCAATGGTTCGCAGGCAATCTCTCGCATTCCTTGACTTACAGCCCTATTGCCTTGATCTTTGCCTTGATGTGCACATGGTGTTCTCCCAGTGTGCATAGCTGTGTCCAAATTTCCCCTTTCTAAAAGGACACTGGTCATACTGGCTTGGGACCCACCCTAATGACTTCATTTTAACTGGATTACCTCTGTGAAAAACAATCTCCAAATGAGGTCACATTCTGACATACCAGGGGTCAGGACTTCAACATATAAATTTTGGAAAGGACACAATTCTACCCATGATATCAATGAAGAAATGAAGACCCAATACAGGTAGTCTGCTTGTTTAGGGAAAGCAGGACATAAATCCAGCAGACAATGGCATCTTGCTCAATGTGTGTACAAAGTAGTATGCAAAAACACTTCTTTTGAAATCCCAGACTAAAGCAACTCTGTCTGGGTCAATTTATGAACCTCAAATTTAACCTAGGTTCATAAATCCTTGAAGAAAACCCAAGTCAGTTTTGGAGTTTCTGGATCAGACAGAATTTCACTTGGTATTTAGGGTTATTGAGTCTAACTTGAAACTTAATGCAAATTCATAGAATACAAACTCTCTACAAATTAAATAGAAGCAAATAGTAGGGGCTCTTGAGCCATCTGGAATGCACATGTTGAATGTTGAGGTTTTCCTATCTCAGTAGGTGGGGGGAGAGAGGGAAAGGCCAGGTTGGCAAGATCTGACCATCGCCAACACTATAATATTTGCATCTCATGTGAATAGGAATTATTTAAAATAGTGCAATAGACATATAACAATAAAGCCTCACTATTTGAGCAAAATTTAAAATAATATGAATCTCCTTATGTGTAAAAATTTGTCAAAACTTGCAAAATTTCAAGATGGGAAAGCTGAATGACTTGCAAACTATAATTTTGTTAATGGCATAGGAAAGAGTCACCTGATTTGTTAACAGAAATACCTGCCATCTTTTGATCAGCAGATACCATTACACCTGTACATTCAGAGTTCCACCAGTGATTTTAGTAGCCATTGTGCTCATTTTTAATTTGACAGCTATTAAGAATTAAAATCATTTGAGTAGTCTATAACAGTGTCATCCAGGTGTTCATTTAAGTGATGACTGTACTACTGAAGAATACACTGGAAAAAGAGTAGCTTTGAACTGAAAGATAGTCTACGGCCATACCACCCTGAACGCACCCAATCTCGTCTGAACTGAAAGATAGATGTGATTAAAAGCAATGGACAAAGTCCAGATACCAGGCTCAATATGCTCTATTGCTAAATTAGGAGAGAATACTGTGTAAAAGATATAAGGCTAAGGAAACAGAAAGCAGTTAAAGCAAAAATAGGTGTGGGGTTTTACATTTTAAGAATAAATCCCCTCCACTTTATAATTATTCCTATGGGAACATTAGCCTCAGATTGTGAAGTGTTGAATTATGCAATGCTTTCAGAAACATGTCTTCTGAATTAAAGCCACCACCAAGTACTTCCTTCAAAATTTTACTGAAATATAATTTCTATACCATGAATTTCATTCTTCCTAAGTGTACTATTTGTTGATTCCTAATAAATGTACTGCATTGTGTCACTACCATCATAACCTAGTTTTAGAGCATTTTTATAACCTCAACAAGATTTCTCATACCCATTTACATCCCCATTAATTCCCATCCCTACCACCAGCCTCAGACAATCAGTGATCTAGTTTTTGTTTGCTTAAAGTTGCCTTTTCTGGAGTTTTTATATGAATGGAATTATATAATATGTGGTCCTTTGTGTCTGGCTTTTTTCACTTAGCATGATGTTTTGGGGAACATCCATGTTTTATAATGTATAGGCATTTTATTCTTCTTCATTGCTGAATAACATTTCATTGCATGGAGCCTATTGTTTAGGGGCTTAAGTTTAGATGGCCCAAAAGAATGGCCACTGTTGCAGGGGTCAGGGGGAGGCATGATGCATTGTGGGGAGCATTGGGCACTCCTTGATCTGAGGGTTACTGTTCAGAGCCAGCTGAGGAGGGAGTGTGGCTCTGAATCCCTCAGAGCCTGTCCTGGGGTTGTCACAGATTGGGGGAATAAACACAAGTCATCGCAAACACTTCTCTGTTTGCCAGGAGAGGGGACGTGGCTCTTCCCTCTAGGGGAGAGAAGGCCCTGAACCCCCGTGTCCAAAGGCTTTTATTGAGAACCAAATGCTCAGGGATATACAGCAAAGCTTATCAATCAATGTCAAAAGTCTGTGTTTACAGAAAACAGACAGAGATCATAGATAACAATTGAAGGAACACAGGAGATCTGCCTCAGGTCAGGGTCTATGAATAATGTAAACCTCCTTCCCAGTATGAGCCAGTTATCATAGTTCTTGAGGGAAGAATAAAGTGTGCTTAGAGGAACTTACTTCTAAGCCTGATTTCCCCCTGAGAACCACCCAATCCAATTTAGGGCTGTACCTTCCTTTAGTATTGCTTCAAACCTGAGCCAGGCGGTCAGGACAGAGCCACCAAGAGATAAGGAAACTTCTTTCAGATAGATTGAACTCTCTGGCCATGTCCAAGCCAAGCCGAGGGGTGCAGGCCTTTTTGTCCTTTCTCTGTGTCCCCCAAGTCCTTGTCTGCTGCCCATACCGGCCAATGTCTGTCTTAGGTCAACTCTCCTCACAAGAGAACTTACTCATCATCAACAACTAACCATCACAGGGCCAAGCAGGGTGATGTGAGGGAGGCAGGGGCACTGCCCAGGGGGACAGGTTTTGTCTCCTCTGTGGCCTGTTTTCCCAAGGCCTCCTTGATTAGCTCCAGCCTTGGGGCCCTCTTGCCTGTCAGCAAGGCTACAGTCCCCGAAACCAGGTGGGACAGTTCCCAAGAGTCCACTTCCTAGAATGAGTACCAGATGTAACTATAAATATCTGTGATAGATAGCACCCAAACATGGTCACCAGCACCTTGTCCACTCTCTATACACTGTCCTTACACTAAGAGGTGGAGTCTCTTTTCCCTCCTCTCCCCCTTGAATCTGGGCTGGCCCTGTCACTTGTCTTGTTCACAATATGTAGCAGCAGTGACATCCTGAGACTTCTATACCCAGTTAAGAGAACTGTCAGCTTCTGCTTCCTCCCCTTGAAAACCAGCCATCTTGCTGTAAAGAAGTTACGGCTGGACTACTGGACAATGAGACATCACAAGAAGAAAGGCTTTCTCTTAGTGTTCCAGCCGCAGCCACGCTCCCAGCTGAATGCATCTGCATGAGTGACTGAAGTTACATCACAGGGAGCCGAGAAACCACCCAGCTTAGCCGAAGCAACCCATACGATCATGAGAAATAAGAAATGATTATAGTTTTAAGCCACCCAGTTTGGGAGATATGTGTTATTCAGCTATAAATAACTGAAACATGATTTAACCAAAGTCTTTCTCTTCCATTTTAATTCTTACTTATTATGCTCTTTTGGAGTTGTTATTGTTGTATTCTAGTCTACTGAGATTTCTAATGATCCTTAACTTTAACATTACTTCTTTGGCTGCTTGTGGTACATTGAAGAATTTTATGTCCATCAACCTGCTTTCTGAGATTTATATGCTGAAACCTTGAGACAAAATTTTTAAATGCTCTGAAGAGAATCACATGGAGACCTTTATAAAAATGGATTCTCTACCCTCCCCTTCACTCCCTCACCATGATGGATAAGGAATCTGTATCCAGCTGTTCCCATAACAGTGTATAAGTTAATTTAATAATCTCACCAGGAAAGCTATTTCAATAACTCAATTAAATACATCTTCTGAATTTTGATTAAAGGAAAATCAGCATGATAAACACTGTGCATCATAATATAACCCTTATTTTGAAAAAGTTTGGAATACAGTTACCAGAAAAAAAAAAAATCATGTGACTATCAGATTAATATGTAATCAGCTTGCCCTCCAGGTTGCACAACTCTAGGAGGCACCATTCACATAGAAAATAATGTGAACGATGT